GAACTGTGATATACGACATGTTTTTTTTACCTTCAGTGTTTCTTCATCTAAAGCCTCAACTTCCTGAATCATCGTCTGTATTTCCTGTGAATTGATAGCTGAGATGACAGAGTGCGCAGAAGCAGAAGCAGTCTCGTTGTGAACTCCACCCTCCCCTCGATCGGTGATGCACTCCCTCAAAGTGAACAGGCTGTATTTATGGAGACAAAAAGGCATTAGATCAGTGTCAGGTACCCATGAGTGCAAGCATAGGTACAAGTATAGAACTGAGCATGTTTTTAAAAATTAACTACTCCTTCTTTGATTAAACTGGGAGTATTTGTTAAGTTAAATAATAAAGCAGTGCATTTTGCATGTCCACATGTCTCAACTGAAGCGATACCTGAAAGAGAATCCTCTGCCTGACGTGTCCAAGGCTAGATCAGACGCCTGCTGGTTAATGGAGTCCAGTGAAGAGGAGTCCTGCAGGTTTGTGGAGGAAGGATTACCTCCACAGACGGTCATCAATGCTTGTGACACCTGTAACAAAAACATACAAATTTAAAATCATGTTATTTTTGTGGTGAAACTGTAAACATACAAAGACAATTACATCGGAAAGTCCAACAAATATTTTGAATCTGTATATTGTAAATCGACCTTTGCTGATTTATGTGGAAGCCTTTTTCTTTCAAAACCCCTTCTTCTGTTCAGGTTATGGAGACAGGTAAGAGGATTCCTCGTGATAGGTAAGTTAGTTTTGTTTTATTTCTAGAGCCTTTTGTTTGTTGTTGTGGTGATGCCCACCAGACTAATAAAATATTTGGTTGTTGTAAAACTGCAAACTCTGTGGCAGCCTTGGTCCTTCCTTGGGACCAGGAAGCAGGTGCAATGTCTTTTTGTGTTGCTCTCTGGTTTTGGGGTGTAGCAGCACACACAACAGATACACAACATACATCCACCCTGCAGGAAAACGAGTGAAGGAGACCATTACAACCAAGCTGGGTTTGTTGGGTGCAGAGGTTGAAGAAACGTCCTCCCTTTCTTTAATCACACCTGCCCTGTGTCAGATGTTCCTTTGACCCACTGAGAGGAATCACTTCAGAAACATCAGGAAAACTGGAGCTCATCAGGGATCAACTAGGATTCATAATCTTCACCAGG